AAAAATATTACTTGTCGGTTTTCACTCTGATTGCAAGATAATTTGGTTTTCAACAGAGTTAAGACAGTAATCTAAATTGGCAGCGGTAAAGAGTCTCTAATGCTTGCAGTCGAGCTCTAGCCCTTCGTTACAGCGACTGATTGTTCAAGTTGCCGACTTTTTCTCTTTATTGACTATTTTTTCTCTTCAACGCTGCGAGAGATGGGAAAAGCTCGGCGCTATTCATGGTTAATAAGAATTCACTTTATCATTCATGTCTTAGTTTTGTCTTGAACCTTCAGACTGCAGTTATGGTTTACAGACCGGTTTACTGAGTGACTCTCAACTTTACAGCAGCTCTGCATTAGGCGAGAGTTATACGGCATCCTACGGAAGGCTTCGAAACAGAACAAGTGCTTGGTGTCCAAATGGGTATGATTAAAGCTCTCTCTTCCGAAAGGCATAGAAATGCAAATACTGTATACTGAAAAACTTCGGTATTATAAAAGGATTTCCAGCCCTGAGAAAGCCGACACAACGCAAGGGTAAAATGACGGCATTTTTCACGTGTGTTTCATATCGCCAGTCAACTGCTAACACGTCACTCACCCTTCGCGCCACTTTGTTAGGTTGACGAATGAATGGCACACCGTTTACAATTTTCAATCCAAGGTCGATTATCGAAAATTTCTCGGATTGTGGCCTATGGTTTTAATACGATAAAAAAAAAAAAAAATCATACATGGTTACTCGTAGATATAGGATTTCTCTTCTTGTGTTTAACTCGATATCTCAGTCATTCGCTGCGCTATTTCATGAAATATTTTGTATATACCGAGCTGAACGATCGACGAAAAATTCCCTACTACCTTATACCCAGGTACTACTTTTTTGTTAACTTATATCGATCTTGCAACCATCTCCACTAAGCCAACGCAGAATTTCATTTCCGGTCTGTCAATCGATACACATAAGACAGAGCTGAATAACAAAAACGCATGCACGAGGTTTTGCCGCGGAAACACGGATTTTGAGTCGTTCGCATGGTTGATTTCCTATTCTGTTGCTTCGAGGCGCCGTTTTCCTTGCCACTTTTCTTTTACAGAACAACCTCCAAATATTTGGTACACCCCTTAAAATGTTCAAAAATCAATTTTCTCCTTCAAACCTTTGGAAATAGGAAAGTGCCTTCGACGAAAATAGAGTTCCTCGGTTTTAAAGGTCAGCCCTTATTATTTTCCGCTAATTTCGCTAAATTCTAGATATAGGACACTTGAGCCCGCGTTGTTGACTGCATACCCATTGACGTAGCATTTCATTATTCAGCTCTGTCTACACATAACACACAAAAATATTCTAAAAGATCGTTCAAATTCCTCTATGTCCTGACTGCTTTCCTTGACGGAAAAAATGCGTGTAATGAACAACATGCAAACTCCCTTATCTTTCAGCGATGATGCCGACCCATATTTTCAAGTAGACTTGGGTTACACTGACGAAATAAAAGGCGTGGCCATTCAGGGTCAGGAGACTAAATATTGGCTCGTGCGTAAATTTACTCTGAGTTTCAGCGTGGATGGTACCACGTGGTTTAACTACACCGAAAACGGACTGGGAACTAAGGTAGAAGGAATTATGTAATCTTAACTATTCTGTGATCGGTGTCTGTGTATTAAACGCCTCGCTTCAAAACCTTTGCCGTTTTTTGTTTCTGTTCAAATGGAGCAGTTTTCAGTCGCGTTTCGAAAACCCAAAACCAAAACAGGCAATCGGAGGGAACCTTGATGTCATCATTTGGCAGTTAAAGCTCCAAGTAGAAACAAGAAGACTTCACGAGAGGCAAGAGAACGCTAGCCATGACGAAACCATGATTGGTCTTGTTTGCTACATATCAGAACTGTGCAACGCTACTACTTTGATAGACTACTTTCATAAATGGCTGCCGTTTAAATATTCTTTTGTTTAAATTTAAATTAGCCCTTCTGGCCTCGCTTGAGATAATGTATTCTTCTGAATTTTGTACTGGAGAACGAGGCCAGTAGGGCTAATTTTAATTTAAACAAAAGAATATTAATCCGGCAGCCATTTATGAAAGTGGTCTATGTTCGCCGAGAGAAATACCCTTCTTTAGGCAAGATGCTGTTCAAGTGTAACACGATCTTTTGCAGCTGAAATGAAATGAATTATGTCGAAATGTTGCTTTGCAAACTTTATTTTTTTATAGATAAAAAAAGGTAACTGGAAAGGCTTCCCCATCATAGAAATGAAAAATAATAGAATCGTACGCTCTGTTCTACTCTGATCACATTTCAGGTATTCAGTGGGTCCTCTCACCCATTGCTTGTAAAGCCCAATACAATAGCACCCTCTGTGACAGCTCGATCTGTACAAATCAACCCAGTTCAGTGGTACGGTAAGCCCTGTCTTAGAGTGGAGCTGTACAGATGTTCACTTCGAAATGGTAAGAACTCTTATACTGAAGGCAATTTCTGTTCCACGAAACGACTTGCTGATTAGTAATCGTTCGTTTCGCTGATAGGATAGCTTAAGCGAGAGTAAACTCAGTTAAGAAGGAGGGGAAGGAAAAAACGCCTACAGTGACTGAGCATTAGGCTAAAATAATTATTC